CCGGAGGACGGCGCCTCGTACCGCAAGCGCGCGTCCGCGCAGCCGCGCGCTGAGGGGTGCGTCCGCCGCCGAAGGGGCAAGGCCGTCGCCGCCCCGCTGGCCTCCGCGCTGTTCGGCGCAGGAAATTACGAACCTCTGGCTTTGGAGAAATGGACAAATGGGCGGCGATTCCGGTCACGTAAGACGGACCGGGCATTCAACTCGCGAGGCGGCAGATCCAAACGTGTCCTCCCTTGAACCTAGAAATGTTTCATGAATGTATCATGATTTTTTTTCATTGAAATTGTACACTGTATTAATGCATTTTGCATTTAAATGTTTGTATGATACAAGAGGTGATTAACACAATAATCGCTAGAAACGCTTTTCCATTTTGTAAAATATATGCCTTCGCACGGTTTCTGGCTCGTTGCCCGCAATATCACTTTTTTAATTAGTACTTTTCAGAGGACAAAATATTCTGACCTCGACTCGACCATAGAGAGCTTGTGAAAATATGTAACAGAAACGCTCTGAAAAATAACAATTAATAATTTTATAAAGTAAATACAAATACGTATTTCTCAATAGGCATTAACCCTATAATAATAATAGCATTTTATTTAGAGAACAATCAATCAACCTAACAATTTAGTCTTCGTTTCCTGAAACAATGACGTTTCATATGCTAGTTACTGTGAATGATGATAAACATCGTTATCACTAGATTTTTAATCCTAATAATCCTTAATCGAATTGAGACTGTCTGGAAATCAGACATCACAAACTCGTTTTACATGAAACGTTTCTAGCAAACAATGGGGACCTTTTTGAGTGATTTTCATTTGAAAGATTTTGGAAGTGCGCCAATCTTGGCTTACAGCAAATAAGTTAAGTTAGCCACTGTAGAAACATGCGACCCCGACAGATTTACAATCAACACACCTTCGACCGTGGACGCATCTCTTTGCAAACGAAAACGTTCGCGGCCAGGTCCTTTTGCGGAGCGTCTGGATCCCAGACGTGGAGCTACAGAAACGGGGGCACCGATCCGAGGCGAGGCACTGTAATTGAACGACAATAGGTGCCGACACCCGCCATAAACCCGTCCACCCGACCATGGCCACTTGCGAACCCCGGAGCTTTCTGGCCGGAATTATATTGTAGCGCCTTTCCGGTAAACATTTTGAAGGATTCGAGGAACTGTTCCGTTACTCAAAATAAAATCGGAAAAGGGCCATTTCAAATGAGAGCGAAACGTAGACGCGAAGACAAAACACATAACTTCAATATGATCCTGCCATTGGCCATGACTGAATGGAAACGTGCAGCCGGAGACAAGTCTTCGACACAATGTATCGGTAAAAATAGATACTCGGCACTGAATTTCTGTGGATATAATGAACGCAATCATGCAGATGAGAATGCTCTCTTATACAATAGATGTCATAAGTGTTTTTAAAATATATTATGAGTAATGATGAATTAACATTTATTCTCTTACAAATTGTATGAACTTCTAAAGTAAATACTTGAGTTTATTTGGATTTCAGTGCGGTGCACTATAATGTGTTGTTCTCAAATGAACGTAGAAGTTAGGAGTTTACGAGCTTTCTTGGTTACCGTTTTGAATGGTTAGTTGAACAACTTAACATCAAACTTGTGAAAGTGCCTATAAGATATATTCTATGCTTCATCATTTTGCTTGGGCATGGTCTCAAATACGTTATGCACGCTTTTACTGTATTGACAGTACTTTAACTGTATACCACAAGCGCAGGCCTGTGGTTCTCGTTCCTAATATACTCAACTTTTGACCGGATCATAAGCCGGTAATACACGATAGTTAAGGAAATACACGCGGGTCAGTCATTTGAGCCGCAATCATTTGAAGAAGAATAGGGAGGCAAACTAGAAAAAAATGCATTACAATTACAAATCTCTTTTCATTTTCATTTCCTCACTCTAGTTCACGTGCCGCAAAAAGAGATATGTTATTATGAAGTAAACATGCAGCAGAAAACAGTTATTGGTTTCTTCTTCATTGCACAAAAATATTTTCGGATCGTTACACTTCCATAAAAATATTCTTCAAACACTGGCGCCATTATTTAGGGAGTTCATTGGTACCACTGGAAAAATCTATTCGCATGCAATTGAAATGTTTAGTATTGTCATTTTGCCTAATGTTAGTACTGGTAAATTGGTATTGAGACTGGCAATAAGAAATATTGAGAGTAGAAGCACAGGGCAATTAGGCATTGAGATTAACTTTTAAGAAAGTCTGCATGTAAAGATGTGAATCTCGCAGAGATGTTTTCATCTAAAACTTTCCAACTCTTATCGATGATTATCCCCCGAATTTACGGTGACTAAAAATTCATAATTCCTTAATACGTTCAAGAAAAATAGATATATTGTTTACAATGACATCTACAATGCCAGACATGAAGTGTGGAACATTTTCTTTGTCACACTCACACATAGCTAACTTTTTGGAAAAAAAGGCAAAAGACATTTCTAAATTTCGGATAATGATACAATAATGCTATATATCAATGCGAAAGGTCATTAAAATAATATATAATTATACAAAAAGTGCCTCAAAATTTGTATTATCTGTAATTCATAATTGTTATTTTGTGTAAATTAACATGATGAACTGATGTGGTGAATAAATTGGTGAATTCAAGAAAATCCCACATTAAAGTTACACACTGATAAAAAATAATGTGTTATTTTTAATTTAAAATGTATGAAAATATAAGCTAGAATTAAGATTTCCTCCAACTGTGTGGATGATACGCCAGGTAACATTTTTTTGGACGGAAAACAACTTTCCATCATTTAAACCACTGCCAGTAAGCTGAATATTTAGAGCATTCCCATCCCATTGGCTGACAATGCAGCTGGAATGAACAATTAGTCCCGACTCCTCTGCGGTGGATCTACCGCTGGCATTCCTCGCCACTTTCCCATTGGCCGTGGATCCGCGGCCGCCGCTTGGCGTTGCAGGCCGAGCACATTCCGCGGGCGCTTCCTGCTTGGGTGGAGGGGGGGGGGAAGGCGAGGGCGCTGGCGGCGGCGGCGGCGGGGACGGCGCGGCGCAAGCGGCGCCGAAGTCGCGAAACCGTGCCGCCCACCGGGCGCGAAACCGCGGACGCGACCGGCCGACGCGCGCCGCCGCTCGACGGTGGAGCATGTCCTTCCCCGCGCGCTCCCCCGTTACGCGCGCTCTTCCTCCGGCCGCCCCTCCGCCCCCCGCTGCCCCGCGACCACCGGCCACTTCTGCGCAATCGCCACTGCTGGGCGATGAAGCGTCTTTGTTACAACAACAATTACCACGGCTTGCAACAAACAATCCCACCACCGATAATGACGCCGCCACACAATACGCCACCAACAATGCTGCCACCAAAAATAATGCCTGCCATCAGCACCAAAAACAACAATTTCAACCACAGCGCCACAAACTATTCCGTCACCATCGATCGCCAACTCTGCCAGCGTCACCACCATAACTACCAACATCAACAACTACAACAACAACAAAAATAACAACAACAAAAATAACAACGTTGAAGATATCGCCAGTAGCAACAATGATTCGCACCACGAACGACAATATCGACTCACTATCACTGCCACATCGAACATCGCCGCCATCAACCACCAAAATCACCACCGCCGTAGTTCAATTTTTTTACTGCTTCCCTCATTCTAATCGTTCCTATTATATCATGAATCGTTCATGTTAGCTCTGTCCGTGCTAGGGGTTTAAACGAACGCTCAAATCACAACCAACACTCCACGACACAACTACCACAGCCATCATCTACACGCGATTGTCGAAGCCGCGTCCACAACCCCCGTCGCCTCCCGGCCGCGGCCGTCCCGCCTCCAATCAGCTGCGGCCGTCCGCATCCAAAACAAAACACATCGCCGCCCGCCCCACCCCGGCGGCGGGAACATTCTGCCGACGACGACCGCGACGACGCGGCGGAGTCAGCTGCTGCGGGCCCTCTCTCTCTTCTCGTCATTCATCGGGCGGGCGGCCGAGCGGCCGAGCGGGTGGGGGGCGGCGGCGGCGGCGGAGCGGACCCGCCGGCGCGCCGCGCCGCCGCAGCCCAGTGCCGCCGAGCGAGCCGCGGTAGGACGTGTTTCCGCTCCGGCTCCGCCGCGCACCCACCCACTCCGCCACCGCCCGGCGACCTCCACTGGCGTCGACTCGCGCTCGCCCCGACACCGCCACGCGCGAACCCTCCAGCTCGTCGCGCCGGGCGACATCGGAAGACCACGCTGGCGATCGCCGCCGCGACCCGATTCGACCAGCGACGACGCGCGTCGGCGCCGTTACACCTGAGTAAACCGCCCCGCGCTCGCCTGACTCAGCCGCCGCCACGCACAAAGAGGGCCGCGCGCGGCTTGTGTATTCCACGACAGCCCGCCGCCTCGAGCCTGAGTCGTGCCGTATTGGACTCCCCGACGCCACGCGCGCCGCCGGAATCACCGATTACCTCCCGGACGCTTCGCCGTTCAAAACCAACGTCCGTCATACAAAAAGAATCGTGTGTTTGTGACAGTTTATTCAGCGAGGAACTTGTTTAATAAATGTAAGATATTTCCAGCTTAGTGTCATTTCGATTACGTATCGCGGAGACTGTCTACAAGGACATTCCGTGACGCTTCTAATGGTGGAATTACGACCGCGATTACCATTACAAAAGCCTGAGCGTTGTCAGCGCGTCGGTTGGCATTCCGCCTGAGAGGAGAGGAGTCGAAGAGCCGGAGCCTGAGAAGCGGCCGCTGGAATCCGAGCAAGCCACGACCTGCACGCGCTCGACCCCCGCCCCCGCGCCGGAGAAAGGGAAGGCCGCTGGGCTGGCAGCGGGTTGCCCAACGGTGCTCAACAGGTCCAGCGCCGGACCGCACCTGCGGCCAGCGGCCACGTGCGCCCGCGTAGCGGAGCCCGGCCCCGGGCGCTCCACGCCGCGGAGGTAGTCGGTCGCGCGTTGGAGTCTCCGCTGTCACCTTCCGTTCTCCCTCGTTGCTGCCCCAGCCGTCACCATGGTGCGCAGCCTGGCGCAATGGACCAAGACGCTGAGCTTCCCGGCGCGCATCTCGCCGCACAAGACGAACGCCGCGCCGCCGCCCACGTGCGAGGGCGTGTTCCGCAACGCGCCCGTCGCCTCGCACGAGGAAGTGAGTACCTCTTGTTGTGCCTTGCGCTTTGGCCGCCACTGCTTTTCGGGCTGGCTCCGCTCCTGGGGCTGTTCGCATAGAGTGGAATGCCACTATGTCTTATGAACCCAATAAGCTCCCAAACTTGATCAATGCTCGACATTTGAATTCTTTGTAATCACTGTGTCTTATAATCATGATCAACTTCCTAACTTGCTCTCTGCTTGAGAAATTTCGTAGTTTAATTAATCCTTTTTTTATTGTACTCACTACTTCATGTTCCAATATTTTGATGTACAGTCTCAAGCATTGTACAAAGCACAAACTAACTCCGTTTATATCAATCTGTATCTATTGTACGAGCAAAGAAATTTGTTTTTAATCTGTTTTGTCACAATTTAACAAGGTGTATATCCATTTTTCGGTTCATAAAAATGTAGCCTTTTTAAAAAAAATAGTGGAATTATTCCAAATCAGTTCTTGAGATTCATTTGATTCTGCATTAATTTAAAACGTTTTCTTCTTTATTACATGCCTGATGAAGAGACATATTTTTATTTTATATTCGTAGTGTTCTCATTCTAAAGAAGTACGTAGAAATGAAATAACGTTATTTATATGTGAAATGTTACGCAATTGTCAGTAAGGTTTACAGGAATGTGTTGTGGTCAGTGACATTCTGAACGTGCCCAGTCATGCAGTGGATGGGAAACACTGCATGTTTTGTCCTGCGCGAAGTTGTCTAAAGTATGTATTCCATAACAAAGCTTTTTCTGTGTTTCCGTGTTTCTGATTTTTACAAGGACCAGGCTAGAAGTATACATTAAAGGAAATTGAATCACTTGCTGTAAGAATATGCATTATAATTCGAAATGTATGCATATCTCCTCTTTGGACAACATTTTTAAGAAATCAAAGAAGTATTGTAGAAGATATTCCTCGAAAAATACTAGTATTGGAGCACGGTTTCGAATTATTCGTACCCACACAATTCATTTGTATTTATTGTTGCTCAATTGTTTTTGTTGAGTTAATTTTCAACCAAAAGATCTTTCCATCGAATATTTTTCTTTGATTCTACCAGGTGTTCTTCTTTGATTCATAGAATTGATGTTTCTCTAGAAAATGTAGATAACTAGTTGAATGTTGGCAACAACATCTTGAGTTAAGGTGGGAGACTTGTTCACTGGCTACCGTTTTGTGTTTTATGTCGGTCGTAATATCACATAATGAGGCAATATTTTGTCGCTTTACAGCCTTTCTCTTACTTGTCTTCTTCACCACTAAGCTGTCGCCTTGTAATTGTCTCTAGGCGGAAGTAAGGCTTATTGTCGGAGCATTTCTGCTTCACATACCACCTTTGTTTATGAGATCTCAACTGTTACTAGACAGAATTGCTCCAATTTTACTTTTATACATTGACAAATATTAATTGAGCAATTCAGTATCATATTACCCCAGGGTAATTAAGGGTAGAAGACATTAGAATTAATGATTAATCCAATCTGGAAGAAAACAAAATATTCTCAATTTTTGTAGTGATATGACATTGATTTTTACATTGTAAATTTGTCCCTCCCGAAATTCGTCTAAACAATCGAAGTTCGTATTAATATACACTTTATAAATTATTTTCGTTTTATGATAGCGAAATTAAATCAGAAGCCGCAACTGATTACTGTGTGTGTGTGTGTGTGTGTGTGTGTGTGTGAGAGAGAGAGAGAGAGAGAGAGAGAGAGAGAGAGAGAGAGAGAGAGAGAGAGACAGAGAGAGGAGTGGGAGAGAGAGAGAGAGATAAGGAGTGAGAGAATGTGTTTGCATTATTTCGCAAATAATAATTAAAATTATAATTAGTTAATATCACATTTACAATTTTTAAAAGTTTCATCATATTTTTGTTACCACCTTTTCCTTATCATGCCCTGCACCTCGCCAAGTTGTGGGGTAGCGTCAGCGTCCACCTGGCTACGAGTGGATGGTTCCAAGGCGCGGTATCACATGCCCTGGGGAACGACGTGTTATGCGAACGCAAATTCCTTGCGTGCGGCTGGGGCCCCTAGTGGCAGCTGCGTCTCAGCTGCCAGAGAGCAAATAGTTTTTATGCCGTATGCAGCGGTTGATGAGAAACCCGCCTTTCGATAGCAAGTTTACTCTCGACTTTTCGTGAGGGACCCAAAAAACATGCTAGAGTTGAACGTGTGAAACTGTCATTTTATAAGAATGCTCATTATACGACCTTAAAAACTTGTATTAACAACCAATTTGCATTGAAGAGTATCGGCTCCGGCCGATTTTCTCAAAAAGCAAATTTACTGAAGAGCCGTTTAAGCAGCTTTGTGTTTGCAAATCCCACGACGAACGCTGTGACTACACTAACGGAAAATCTCTCACTAAACTGGTTCTCCCTCCTGAGCTATCTCGTAAATGCTGCCTCATCAGCAAGCTTACGTAACTGAACAGCGTTCATGAAGACCGCGATTGCCACCACATCTTACAGAAGCATACTTTCTACCACAAACGTATTAGGGCCATTTCTTAATAAATACTCGAGAACATTGCAAGATCGAACGACCTGAATAAATGAGAAACGAAAGTCTGCATAATTCGTTAAAGAATGTTGAACGCCATGATTGTTCTCTAGCAGAAACACAATTTTCAATTTTTCTCTATCAGAAACACAACAATCGCTGTAACATCAGTATATACACCCAGAACGGAACATTCCTCAAAGAAAATCGCAATACCGAACAAAATTAATGGTTCTAATAAAGCTATTATTATTTAATGTGAGACCGCAGGTTAAAACTCATTTTCTCCCGACAAAAAACCAAACCCTGCACCGCTGTTGGAGGATGCACGACCGTGGCGCCTCTGGCGGCGTATGGTTCGGGCGGCGCGTGTCTCATTTGCGTGTTATACGAGGTCTAAACGGCGGCGCGGGGCGTGGCGGAACAGGGCGGGGCGGGGTAGGGGCGGGACCGCCCGGGGCACAGAATGCCGGCGCGACTCAGAACGCACTTAACTGTCACCGGGGGTTACGGGCTGGTCGGGCGAGTATTTGAACGGTTTCCCACGGTATGTCACACACGCGGGCCTCTCGTCGCCCTGCTACCAGGCTCTTCCGCGTGTTTTCAGGGGACGCCCAGAATTGCACCAGTAGAAGAATATCACGTAGTAGACGGTTTAGGTACTGTTTCCATACATGCTCAATAAAGCGGACAAGAGATTATATTTTGATTTTGTTTACCTACTACTCGACTGACAGTCATACCCAGAACTGATTCGCTGTCATTTCTTGTTTATTTTGTAATTTTTTTCCTCCACTCTGAAGCACTGCGCGGAAGTTTTGAGAATGAGTACTTAATAATCGAAAAGTACGTAAAATGTGTGATTAAAAGTGTAGAATAGAACTTAAACCAAAATTCAAAAATCATTATCCCTCTTTTTTTTGTGATTTTTCAGGAAAATGTCGGTTGTTAACGATTATTATATGATAATGAACCGAATACAATTCAGGATTTTTAAGTTATACATAATATCTTTTTTACAGTTCTAAATACTTAGGAATTACATTGTCTTATGTCCACCACACAAAATTAGTGTGCAAGTGGACCTAATAAGGAAGGTTATAATACATTCGATGATGAACAAATGCAAAGTGATTCAACAATTTACCCAAAATAGAACGAATCGGATTACGTCTGTATATGCTCTATACTAGTAGTTCTTTTCAGCCACAATAGCCGGCGATAAAAAGTTTTTTTTCCTCGCAGGAAGCCAGTAGATATGCAAAATCTATGTATTGAGGGCGACCTGAACGCAAGTGGCTAGACCCGCGCGCTGCATGAAACATATCGTGGTAATTCCAGTTTATTGCTTTCCTCGTGCTGCGAAAGAGGGAAGCAGGGGGCCCTTGCCAGCAGCAAAGGCAAGAATTACGAGAGAGAACTGCGAACCTTCGATACATTCCGGTCAATGCTGGAAGCCATCTGTCAGAGGAGGACCTCCAGAAATACCGTTGCTTAATTCCTCGGTCTTCGATATCCAAGCGAGCAATTCCCTTGAATGAAAGGCGAAGCACATGGTTCTAAACCGATGCTTCAAAAACTGCTTATGCTTTTTAGTTCCAGCTAGCATATTAATATTCAAATTTTAAGGAAAAGTTATTATTTGAATACACAATAATGATCATGAATTGAAAGAAATCCTATTCCACACATTTTATACTTCATGTAGGTAAATCAGTAATGAATAAAACAAACTATTTTAAGAACATTGTTTATACTAGGATAATGAAGAGCTATATGCAGACAGTGTTTTTTATTGTTCTTTTTGTTTATTGTCAGCGTTTTTTATTGATTCAACTACGTCATCCACGCTCGTAATTTGCTTCAGTTCATTGTCTATATGTTTGAATGTGTGTCTTAGCATGTATTCAAATGCATTACATGCGTTAAGTCGCGTAATCGTTTATAAGAAACGTTGTAATTATGAACATTTTAGGATATAAACAACTTCTTATGACCCCTGTCGAAGTTCGAAAGACTGACACTTCGAAAGACTGACACTGCCCAATTCCGTCTCCGGTGTTGGGAAATGGATCATTGTCAGTCGAACATTTCCATGTCGAAAGATACTTGAACAAAGACATCCAGTTGCTTGTGAGCCGAATTTGATTCACGGCCGTTCAACAGGGGACCAATTTCTCGATCGACTGCTAAATGAGCTTCGACCACCATGCTCGTGCTCAGACAACGCCACCTGATGGCTTCCGGTTTCATGCAGCCAGGCCGTACGCTGTTCGCTCGTGACCTACAAACGCCACCTGCCGCTCGCTGCCAAATCCTTTCCACCCACCACCGGCTCCCAGGAATGCGCAGCGCCCAACAGCGCCATCTGCCCGGCGCGGCGACGCCCCCGCGCCGCTCGCCGCCGTTTAGAGCGTTTTTTTACTCACGAAGGCGCTTCTTAATAATTTCCCTACTCACTCCTGTTGGATTCGCGCAGTTCCTTATGTCTCGAATCTTTACACCGTCACCGCGGGATATTTGCGCTTATATCATGTGAAGGAAACTCCCCGTTTTTCGTCACGTGGAACCGACTTAGGTGGCGCAGGACATTAACTCGTGTCACATTGCAGTGCCCCTGACCGAGAGGGTGTAGCATTTGAATCTCCACGATGGCAGGATATTCGACAGGTTGGTTGAATTCAGACTGGAGGACAATTCTAGCGGCCGGCTGCTCTCCCTTTTAGGGGGAGATGCATGATTCCTGGTTGGGGAACACCCCACGAGCCTGCGTATAGGTCGGCGGCGGATATCGCCATCTAGCTGGGAAAGACGCGATGAAAAATATGCACTATTATTACGAGAATAATGACCTTAGCATTTGGTGTGCCCGAAATCATTAATTAATCAATCGTCATATAGGTTTCGGTCGCCGAGCTGAAAGGCGCAGATCTCAACAAAAATGTGGGCGAAATCAAACGTTTGGGGGTTGCAGTCCAGTGTAAAACGAAGGCGCCTTTATGTCGTCGCAGTCGTTTGGAAGGTAAATGCAGGTATAACATTTATTGTTCGATCATTCATTGATACTTTATGCTGTTCGTTTTGCATGGAGCAGCGGTTCCCAGTTCATATTGGTTACATTCAAGACATTCTTTGTAGCTTTTCTATTACGTTTTTCGTCGCACAATTGTCCTCCTAAGAGACTCGGCCATCTCTTGAAGGCAATCGAGGATCCGGGGGTGGGACAAAGGATGCGCACACCGCGCTGCGTGCGCACTTCGGAAGCACGCCGCTGCGCACCTGCTGCCTCTTGGCATTCCTCCCCCCTCCCCTCCGAGTTCCTCGCGTTGCGCATTGCGCTTGGCGAGACCTCGCCCCCGCGCGCCTCGGCGCCCAACACGCTCGTTAGCAATTTGGCCAAGAGTATTTTTAGTTGAGGTTAAATGTTTACATTCCGCTGAGTTCGCAATGTATAGTGTGAATGGCTGACAAAAATACCCATAAATATAAACTGTACACATAAATGTGTAGTAGAAAAAATATATACACGTGTGTTATTTATGGTGCAAACTTGCGTTATTTTACTTACGATTCAACCAAAAGATATGTAGTATGTTTAGTCCAAATGACAAATATTTATGTAACTTTCAAAACGGGATTTACTAAATTTTATTGGTCTGCTTCCCAAAAACATTATATCTTACATTGAGACTTGACTAACTTATTTATTTTTTGTTTTAGCTCGAAGTCATACAATATGTATTATCCGATCTAAAAATGCGAAGTTTAAATATTATGACAGCGTTAACTGTTGTGGAAATATATAAATGTTTATACAATTCTTGAAAATTAATGACAGTAAATTATTTCCAACAAAATTAATTGAAGGGTGTCGTAAGAACTAGAGAAAAATAAAATAAATTACTATATCATCTGCAATTACTAGAAATATTAACGTCGGACGCCCATGTTTCGTCCGCCTTGATGCGAGATCATTCCAAACATTCGCCAAAAACGCAGGTGAAACGATATGGCGATATTCATCTTGGTAACATGAGAAAACGCAATGTATCATGTAACACGGCGCAGAAATGTCAAAATATTGCTGCAGACTGAACGTAATATAAAAGAAGATTAAGGACGGTTCAGGCAAGTCGTCTGCGGTTTTTTTGTGCGTACATCATCACAGGTGTTCTGCTAGAATTCCACTGGTTCACCTTCAGAACGAATTCTCTCGTCATCTTCCTCAGCTCCACAATTTTAAACGAAATATGACAACCATTTTGTCCGACCTCCCCAACCAGCGGCCACATATTAGGGAATAACATGTGCACGTTTCAAAGCGAGCACGTAGCTGAATCCAGATTCTCCTCGCTGGTCCCAACAATAAAATCAGGACTGCCAACGTTTGGAGACGTGCAGTTCTGGCTCGTTATTCATCACGTATTTTCTCCTGCAACATGGCAGCACCATTTTTTTCGGATGACCGTGTGCCGGCTTTTTCACTCGCTCGGTGTGAGCGCTGCTTTTTGTGCTGTCGGGTCGGTTGGCGAGTGGGAGGCTTTGTAGCGCCTGGGCCTGGAGACAG